CACATGCGAAATTGAACTCGAAAAGCGTAATCACGAGCAACCAAAAGGCATCAAGTACGATGGTTTGAGTCGTCAGGCGCGAGCTTCTCGCACTCGTTGCGGATGACATTTGACGGTTAATGTCAATGATTGCGGTACGCGCGTCGAGATCCTACACCGCGTACGCCACAAGATGTTCGTCACAATGTCAGTATACTGTCATCACCACCTGCCGCTGTCTTGTTGCAGCATAGATCAGAAAAACAGCAGTGGTGTGGTCGATGAATGGGGGGGATACTGGCGTAGCTCTTTCAAGTGCATGAAGCACAAAACCGAGAACACGTCAGGACGGAACTGCATCGAGTCGTGCGTCGGTTGATACCCGTTCAAGCGTATCGGCTGGTGGTTGCAATGCAGGCAACACGATGTTAGACATTCCGTCCCTAACGCCAAACGATGATAAGGACAGCAAAAGACGATCAAGCGATGGTCATGAACAACGGTTTTGGACGAGGAGAGACATGGCAACTTCGGACCGATGCAAGCTTTCCGAATCGTTGGAAGATGCCGATGAAGCTCGGCACCGGAGCTGCCGTTGAGGACAACGTAGACCAAGAGTGCAGTGGTAACAGCGGCTCAACACATCACTGACAGCGCCAGCTGTGTTTTTCGTCATCGTCAACAGACTTTTGTAGTAGCTACATGCCGTGGTCTGCTGCTCACGCGAACGAGGCGCGAGCTGGTCAGACTGGAAGCACGCGTCTGCGCTGCGAGCTTCAACGAGGAGGCCAATACGATTGATGGTGATGATGATGAAGACGATCACTTCGGTCTTGTGGCTTTACTGCCAAGAGGTTTCCATGCCCCATCATTGAACCAGCCTCCAATTTACAACTCGAAGCGCATCGCCAGTCGATTGTAGAGAACTTTTGCTTTTGCAAAGCGCGTGTGTACGACCTCATCACGTCTCTTTGCATTGCAGTAGACGTCACAGGACCAGAGCCACGGAATCGACGGATCATATGCAGCACCGAAGCTGACGCTAACAGCGCCTACCGGCGATAATGATCTCGTTTCGGATCCCGATGTTCCTTTCGTGCATTCGCAAAGCTCGCGCAAACGTCGGGTTCATCTATCGCTACACTGCGCAGCGAAAACATTTGCATGGCTTCTTGCAGCACAAGTAGGTCGCGACGTCCGACGGAACGAGTCAGCAGCTTCGCTTCTCAACGTGCTTTCCGCATGAGCCACGACACGAAATAGCACGAGCAGAGAGAAGTCCTGTACAGGAATTGCTTTGCTCTGTCAAAAGACAGCAGCAGCTGCACAGGGAACGAGTTGACGGGGGTGGTGAAGTCCCACATGTGGCCCAATGACTGGCTCCCGACCGCCCTAGGGAGAGACACGACGAGGCAGACAGGGCGAAGTAAAGACGGGCGGTGCTAAGGCCCTCCAAGTTGGTATCGGACGCGTTGACAGCAATGCGCTGCCGGCCCACTTCTCTCTGTTTCGAATGGCCAACTGCAGGCGATTCTCGTCGGCACTGCACTGCACCAGTCAGTATCGGAACAAAACTGCCCCTCGAAACAGCATATGTTCAGATGTGGGACCACACCCCGCAAACCCACTTACGTCTCTCACAGTTGATCGACTGCACCTCGAAAAAGGATATGTTCAGATTGGGACCACACCCCGCAACACCACTTACGTCTCTCACAGTTGATCGACTACACGTGCAATGGCAGCGACGGTCGCCCGCAAGCGCTTCAACTGGGAAGAGGCCGTGCGGCACGACCGCGACCTCCAGCGCATCGATGCGCTCGTACAGCTGACGGTGTCCGCGTGTTCGGGCCACGTACCGCCGCGCGCTGAGGCTGTCCGCAGCGGCTCTCGGTACGCACCCGCGCCGCCAGCAGATCCCGTCGCGGTCAAAGCAGAGCCGCGTACGTTTCTATAGCATTTCTAAGCCCGTTTTTCATTTCTATCGCGGACCTAAGCCGGTTGTGCTGGTCCCATCTGTTGCTAGACCCCGTGCCGGTCACGACGACGACGGCGGCCATCCCGAGCGTCAATGGGTCTGTGCCTTTTGCACCGCAGTTTATTGACCCGCGGGAGTACCAGAGCGAGTCGTCGAGTGAAATGGACGCGCGAGAGGTGAACCCAATGGACGACCTGAGCGATTTTGAGTCGGAGACGCCGCAGCAGCCGACGGCGCTGGAACAAGTGCAGCCGATAGACGTCGAGATGGCGGAAACCGGACGAGACGAAGAGGAGCAGGCGAAGCCGACGGTGTGTGAAATCTGCAGGAACTCGGACCGGGAGGACGCGATCATTCTATGCGACGACTGCGACGCCGAGTTTCACATTTCGTGTCTGGACCCGCCGCTGCCCGGGGTTCCGGAAGGAACGTGGTTTTGCCCCGCTTGCAGCGTCAAGCATCTCAGTGTGTATGCTAACAGGGTGAAGCAGGAACAACCGCAAACGGCTGCTGATTATGCAACCGGTACAAACGCTGCCAGCTACGCAGAGGTCGCTGCATCTGCAGTCAGCGCAGGTTCAAGGGCGGCAACAGTGACATCTTCGAGTGGACAAGCGCGTGATGGTGGAAGCGCACTAGTGAACGGAGCAGGAGGAAATAGTGACCCGACATCGATTCCTGTACGTCACGTGCGAAGTGGTTGGCCTCTTTTTGTTTGTGCTTGTGTAGTCAACGCTGTATGCTGCTACTCTCGTGCTGTATAGATTGCGCAGGCGCTGGAAGGAGATCCGAAGAAGAGCAATGCGTTACTGATCCACGCATGTAATTGCGACGACGTACAGTGCTCAGATCCTGAGCTGAGTGACTTTTGCCCGCACATGAAGCGCTTTCTGCGCAGTGTGTGCTGGGCGTCGCATAGCGACCAGTGGCGCTCCTATCGACTTGCACGGATCACAGCCGAGCTGTTTGCATACCATGCAATGAACTGCGATGTTTTGCAGTGCAACGTACCACTTTGCGTCAAGATCCGTGAAGAAGAGATTGTCTAGGACGTGTGTGTGCGGTACTGGTAAGTACCGTAACATTTGTGGATAGCGCGTTAGCAGTTCGTGTTCGTTGACTCATCATGTCTGTGCGCCGCTTGCCTGTCATGTTTGAAGAAGAGTGCAGGAAGGACGTAGGCGACTTGTGCGAAGGAATGACGGGATACGGCGTGGTGAGATCGATGGTTGTTGACGTGCTGTTGGCGCTGGAGTCGTGTGCTTCGCGCACCAGTGCAGGTGCTGTCTGGTGCTACAAAAGCTCTTTGTTGCTTTGTGGAAGCTTGACTTGATGTTGGGCGCTGATTTTGTCGATACGTTTATTTCGTCACAGCGGTGACGATGGCCGTGCTCTTCGCGTTCGTGATGCCAAGCAGTTGCGCAACATCTTGCTTCTTTTGGCATGAAAGTTTTGCATGTAGAGATATGCGTGCCTACCATTGGTACAGAAATGAGTCGCTTGGTTGGCATGCTCTTGGACAGACGCCATCGTGGTGTACGGTGAGGTATGAGCGTGCGGTAATGTTGTGCACGCACGGCTGGCCGGCTCCTGCCGTCGTTACCTTTGCGACGGTATGTTTGTGGAATGCGGTCTATACTCAAGACTGGAGCTTGTTGCGGTTTCGCAATAAGTGTGCACGAGACCGAGTTGACTCATGGGCTGCAATCGAATGTCCAGATCCTGTATGTACGTTCATGTACGTTTGCTACTAGCAGCACGTTGGCGAGTGATCACGTACGAGTGGACAGGACGGGTGTCGCACATGTGATTCAACTGGGTGCACGGTGAGTAGTAGACGCTGTGTGCACCTGTTTGCGTTTTTTTCATTGCGGGTGGAGAAAAGGGTGCAGACCATGGAGTGGCTCCGTCGTGTTGTCACCAAGTCGCGTTGGATTTTGAATTATCTTGCTGTGGCTTTGGTCGCTGTTCCGTGAACGCGGTGCAGAGGAGTGTCATGATCCGCAAGCCCGTCTCAGAACCTTGTCGTGACTGCCCTTTGTTGGCTTGCGTGATTGAAGGAAGCGTGGACCATCGACTGATCGGGACACACAAGATGCTAGAGTGAAGCCTCTGTTGCGAGTCAACGTTCTGACTCGAGCTTATGCTTTCCTCACGACCAGCATCTTCGCCCTCCCGATTCCTGGTGGAGTGTCCTCACGCGTGATTGCGTCTCCCTCGGCTGCGGTTTACGGTCACAGCCTGCACGCGAAACAGCGTGATTGTCGAGAGTGGCCTTGAGTTCGTCACAGCAATGGCTCGGACGCCACAAGAACGGCCATAGGCCGGGAAGCTGACTTGGAGCACAAGGGTACTACGAGGTGAATGGATCGTCAAGCTGAAGGGTGAGGAGTAGCTGTTGGACAAATGTTTTGTGGGCATTATGCGCAACACGATCGGCAAAGACGCTTTCTCTCGGAGACCATCAAAGCTGCTGGACCGTGAATGTTACAAGAGCGCAGTTTGTCGATGCAGTGCAGGTGATGTTGGTGGCGATTGTGCGCCATCAACTTGACGTGACAGCGTCGAGAACCATGGGAGTGTATGTGCTGGTCGAAGAACGTCAAAATCGAGCACCTGGTTCCTTGTCGCGCAAGACCGAAAAAGCTCTGTAAACCGATCACTTGTCCGAAGAGGCCCTCATCCGTACGGCATTAGCAGTGAAAGGTTTCAAACCATCACTGCCTGCGCAAGACGGCGCATGCATTCGACGGCATGGGCGGGTTCACCTCAGTCTGTTCTTACTACACCGACGATGCGCGCGTCACCGCCAGAGGCTGGGGCTGAGATGACTAGGAGAGAGTGCGCCTCAGGTTGCCTTTTGAGCTTGCTGGAGTGGGCAGATAGACAGCGCACACGTGCACCCGAGTCAAGTGAGTGCTGCACATTGGGCTCGACTCAGGTGTTCCAAGTGAACGTCAGTCTCAGCAGTAGTTCGAAGAGTGTAAACAAGACAACAGGGCAGCACGATATGGACCAACTTGGAAGTGCAGCAAATTCATGTTTACCTCCCGAGAGCTTTACAGAAGACTGCGTACCTCGATAATATCGCTTGTGCTTCATCGTCACTACCAAACGCTGAAGGTCCGGCTTCCGCAAATGTTTTTTTCATGACCTCAGGGGTTCTAGAATTCATGTACCAATGGCTGAACAGGACGGGCTCCCAGCCGTCTGCCTTCTTCGTCAACTTCTTGTCCTGTTTCTTTGCGGTCACGAACATGAGAGCAAGATTCTTCGGCCCGAGCTCCTTGTCTTCGCGGACAATCAGTTCTCTGTGCTTACTCATAAATTTCGAGAATTCATGTTTGTACTTGGGTTGAACAGGGTGCTCTGAGACGAACTGGACCACTGCGTCATGCAGTAACGTCTCGAGCTTCTGGCGAGCCTCCCCCTCTGCCTTCGAAATAGCTTCGACAACGCTGTTAATATATTGAAGCGTCACCGTCGAGTCCGCCTTGCTTTCAAGCGCCTCTGCCAACTCGTACTTGCCAATTTGCAACACTGCCGGCTCGATCTCGCCATTTTCCATCACTGCCGGCTCGATCTCGCCATTTCGCATCACTGCCGGCTCGATCTCGCCATCCCGCGTCGCCGCCAACTCGATCTCTTTATAACGCATCGCTGCCGAATCGATCTTTTCGTGCGCGTTGAGAAGAGCGCCATCGAATTGCGCTTTAGCCCTGGGTGATCTCACGTGATTAAGTAGTCTGGTGAAGACTGATGGCTCAGATGGTCCACTCCGATCTTCTTGTTCTCCCTCAACGAACGGACGAGCCCCTCGCAGTGTCTGGCCAGTCTCATACTCCACTGCATGAGTACCAGGTGCCGTGGTCTGTGCTTCTCCTGGATCCGGGGCGACGACAGAAGAAGTGACAAGCAGCGCACCGCTCGCGTAGAAGGCAAAGAGGAAGCAGCGGCGCATGGCCTACCGGTGCGAGTGTTTCGAGCAGGAGACTGAGCTCGGGAGCGCAAAAAGGAAAGTGAACTGTCGTTCGTTGGGCAACTCAGGTGAGACACTTGTCCTGCGACTGCGGCCGCTCGTCATCAGACAAGGCACGAACGACGCCATCGTCCTTTGGGCGTCATCACAGCAAAATTGGGTCATATTGGTAATCGACCAGTGTGAGTGGTACTTGCTGGCGTAATCAAGGAGTAGCAAAATGGCTTAGGCAACTGTGGTCACGACCGAGCCTCGATTGTCGCACATTCAGCCGCCGGAGCAGTGTCACCTTCATCCGTCTACAGGCGCCGATGGGCGTAATCATTTTGCAATTGAATCACGAACGGAAGCATACCAATGACCGTAATGACCGAAAGGATCGCATACCAATGACCAATGACCGTAATGACCGAAAGGATCGCATACCGATGACCAATGACCGTAATGGTTAAAAGGATCGTAACGCTTTTTTTCGATGCATGTGACCCAATTCGCGTAATCATCTTTCCGTAAAACTTGTGGTCCAGCCATTCGCAAAACAGATATGGCTGCAGCAGATCATGACAATGCTGTGCGACAAGAAGCCGTTTATGTGCCGCTCCTCATTTCTCGTATTTGGACTTCAATAGTACTCCCGCGGATCAGTTGTCGTGCAAAAACATAACCTCCGACACGTATTAAAGCACGATTCCGTATGGCTTATCCTTTGTCCGCTAAGTTATTAATACTGCGTTGCGGCTAGAGGGACTAGGCAACCGTTTGAAAGCATTTTGTGGCATCCTGTAGTGTAACAGGGTAACTATCAAAGACGATCGTCCTTAATGCAGTATGTCCTCGCATAAGTGATTTCCGAATCAGATTGTAGCTGATAAAGCTATGATTACTGGCATCCACCGACGACGTTTTAGTGCTGGATATAAACATGGCAGAGCAATTTTCGAGGCCCGGTCTTTTAACTTTTAATGTGGTTTAGTCAAGCGAACAGGGCCAAATTTAGAGCAAGTACGAAACAACGGCGACTTACACCAAAGGATGTGGGGCTGTTATTTTACTTCTCAGATAGATGAGCTTATCTGGACCTGATGGTCAGCCGTGGCGCTTTAACACGGAATGTTGCCGCTACGCGCTTTGCTACGTGAGATCAAGCAGGTCTTCTCAACAACAGATTAGGTCAATAAGAGAGACAAACGAAGTGCGTATCAATGTACTCCTTGTAGCGGGTGTAGCTCTTTTCGCTCATAAGTGGGAGTCGGGCCCAATATCAATTGATACGAGGTGATCTATATATGAACAATTCTTCTGGGACGAGGAAACCTCTCGTTTTAAAGAAAGATGTGTTATCAAAATATCAGTTTCAAATGGACATACAGCGTGCTGGATCGACGCTGAGCCATCACGGCTTCTTGTAAGAAACTATTGTGCGATAAAGTAATGGAACTCTCAACGCGTTACACCTGGAAGCACTTCGTCGTCTCTCCAGCCACAACACGCTCTCTACCGATGTAAAGCGCGAACGGCGCCACGTTGTCCTATGGAAAATTTCCGCATCTTACCGCACTTACAAAGGAGCTCTGCGTCGCCTCGCAGACTTCGCTGTAATTGCAACTGTCACGGCAATGCTGACATTTGAAAAGCAACAGCTCGTAGCATTCAAGATTACGTCAACACAGGCTGGTTTACGCAAATCTGCGACCTTTAACACCGCCGTGTCAGCAACGGAAGTCGATGTCAAATTTGACGTCTCATGCTACAGCATGTGGCTAAGAAGAGCCTTTCTCTTGACCGCTATCGATATTGTGTGCGGTGCTGTTCGAAACCGCCCACATGTAGCTGCGCTCGCGCGTACCCACTTCCCCCTATTCAGGAAGACCGGAAAGACAAACCGTTGTTGCTGGATACGATTGTTGCCAACCCGGAAAGGTTCCCGGACATGGATTCCGTCCATACTGAATTGTTTCGGAGCCACACAAGTTAGCCACCACCACATTTCTGCCTTTTCCACTGAACCAAGGCCGACTGTAGATGCTGTATAACAGACATCGTACATGACACGTCGAGCTCTGGGATACTCTTGTGTCGATCATCTCAATGAAGCAAGTTCACGTGTAGTTCACGTGTTCGTTTCAGATTTTTAATCGCTGGCTATTAGTATTTTCTCCGACTAAGAATGGTCCATGTCGCTCATCTTTGAGTGACAGAACAGCAAAGATGCTGCTTTCTCGCAGCAGAAGGACTTGAGCATCAAATAGTCGCAAATCAACCACACATATCTTCATTATGAGGTGCAATAGCCTATATCCTGGTAGATTGACTCGGTCTAGTACACCACCACTGCGTTCGCGCCGATGTCTTTCCTCTAGTGAATATAAACTTGGTCACCAAATCAGCTGCTTTGGTTTCTTTCACGTACTACAATCTTCGCGCAGCTTTTTGCCGCACTGCCGCACGCTAGCATCAGTCCACGCTGCCGACGCTTCTGATACCTACGCCAATTGCGTCGGGCATCCAAAGATCCCAGCAAGAGCACTGCGGACTACTAAGCGAAATGGATAACTGTGCCTTAGTTGTCAATAATTCTCCTTCTCCCATCGTTGCGCAGGGCGCGCAACCGTATGCCACTTCGTCGAGCAACGAGAAGCAACATGTAATGTGCTTACTCATTACGGCACAGGCCCATGGCGTTCAAGCCTCGCGTTGCTGGATTAAAGAACGACTAACGATTCTATGTGCGCCGAGGGGTTGATCTACCTTTCCTCACGGTTAGCCGTTTCGAGCTTTTGGGTTCTATAGCCGTCAAGTGCACCGACGGCAAACGTTGTAAGAACGCCGAACGACCAGTAGTCATTGAATGCAGCTTTGCAAGTCATATCCCTATATGACTGGGCACCATGAGTGTATCAATATAAGTATATCGCACGATTTGTTTACGTTAGAACGACGTGTCTTGCACGACGTTGTTCGGAAATCGATTGGATCAACAGTAAATTCGCCCCCGTTACATAGACGTCAACGCGACACTCGTTCTTATTGGTTCAGAGTGTCCACGGTAGCATGCTGCCGTTCGCCAATACTGTGCCTCCAACTATCGTATGTCTACAGAGTTTTCGATTCACCTTCGCGCAAGGTGCGCATTCCAGCTCGGTAGTCCTTCTCAATTGAACTGTGGCTCTGTCAAGATCGCATGGAAAAGAAGAGGCTTCGAGCATTTGCAGGGTGGAGTACCGACTTCTGTTCACGTACGATGTTGCCAACCGCACCAAAGCAGATGTTTTCAGCTCGTCATAAGTGAGAACTAGGCCATTACGAATCTAATGGAGAAAAGCATTTCGAGTCCGAGACTCTTGATGCAGCACAAACGAGAAGCAAATCCCATGCATGCTCGGAAGGACATAAACACCGATGTCAGGGGGCCCTCGGCGCGTGATGAAGGGTCTGGAATCCCGTGTAACCAACTGATATCACGCTGAAAAAAACTACAAGGCGAATGGAGCGAAAGCAGCGACTTCTTTTTTTCGGATATCATACTTCTTGGCAACCCTTTATTACAAGGTGTATCCTACGGGTATGCGCGCACACTCTTACAACTCATCGGATAACTAGCAACCCTAGTCGTTCTTGTGTTCTAGAACATTCCAATCATACTGATGTGACTAATGTTGGTACACAAGATTTCTCGGTATCAACTATAGATCCTTCTTGTGTCGCGCTTATTGTAATAAGGTCACCGCACCACAAGCTCCAACAACCACGTAAGATATTTTTTGAGTGTGCGATTCCAATAATAAATGGGATTTTCCCTTAGCATCCAAAATCAGTCATTTCATCCACCAGTAGTGAAAAATGCGAATTGTTCATAACGGGGAGCTTTGATGGCTTGATCCAATTACATGGCATTGACATAAGTAAATGTCAATGCAAATTTTATCTTAGCGGATGATATTTTTGACTGTCAAATCCAAGTGTATCAATTAAGACGTGAATATTACCGAAAGCGTGATCTAGTTTCTTCCATTATTGATACCGGCGTCTAAAATTTACCAACCGACGTATATTTATTGATGGACGCGCGCAATAAACAGACGGTTTAAGCTCTTTTTAGTAATTATTGTTAAAGAAAGGTTTAACAAGATCTGAATTGGTTAGATAGCTGTATATGATACAATTACATTCTAGAAGACAACTATCGTATAGTTAGTCGTATAGCTCCCGCATATCTTATGTGAACGTGAGGACACGAAACACATGCATATACTGATGTGAGCGTGGGTGTAACGGGGTAGCCCGTTACATGAAAATTCTCTTAAAGAAGAAATTGACAATAAAGAATATTACGTTGAATATTCTTTCAACAGTATCACAAGCATGGTGATATTGTTGGGATGACCGAAGGGTCTACTCATTGGTTGATATCGCGATGATGTCAACCTACCAATCGCTGCTAGACGCGCGCAATGAGTGGTGAGTAGACGTCATCATACATTTAGTTACGTTAGTAGTATATTTAAGTCAGGACAAACAGAGATACAAGAGTTATAGGACTATATTATATTAATAACTGTTTTACTTTTTCTACGACTAGAGTCTTTCACCTTAGTCGTTCTTGTAGGAAATAGGAGCAAGTATGGTTAATGACTTCTATATTAAAACGCGCACCAGACGCGTTTCGGCCCCCCGCCGGGGGCCTCGTCAGTGGCTTAATCAATTTAGAAGTGAGATCTTGCTCTATCCTGCGCTCTACGACTAAGAACCTTCTAGAACTTAGTGTAACCACACCAATCATCCACTACAGCTACCAAACCTGGCAGCTGGGGCGTCGACCCGGAAAGGAGTGTCCGCTATGACATCTCCACTTCCAACAGTTCTACCTTTCTCTGTGTAGTTCTACATATAGATGGGCACCGACTATCACTACAGTCAGTGATAGTAAGCTCCGTACCGGTTGACCAGTACGTAGTCGTCGGTGCCCCGTTACACCTGGTAGC